GGGGCACATACTAGTAGTGCAGGCTAGTTTTTGTTCGGTCAGGTGGACATGCGCCAACTGACTGGACTATCGGGAATCATGTTGACTCGGTACTTCATTTTTCACATCATCCCCTGCGATTTTCGAACAAATTTGAAGATTTTCTTGAAGCTAAAATAAGTCGGTCACATTCACCTATTAACTGAAGAAAATTTTATCCAAGGATAAATATAATTTCGAATGTGTGTAATTTGGATTCGAATTATCGTAGAATGTGCTTCCTTTCTTTGGTAGCCTTTATTGTTCGCACAATAGGCGTAAAAATTGCCACGTGGAATGATCGTGAAAAACAAAAAAGTACCCGATTATAGCATCGCCTTGTGGGATTGTGTTTTGCAATGAAGATTAAAAATGCTATCATCGTCATTATTGATCATCATCGTCATTATGATGATCGTCCTCATAATCATCACCTTTGCTTGCAAGAGGTTGATTAATGTCGGCGGTATATATGTATCGATAGGGCACAAATAGATAGAGAGATAGACGGAAAAAATACAGACAAAGAGTAAGAAAGATAGAGCGGAAGAGAGAGAGAGAGAGAGAGAGAGAGAGAAATGAAGAATGGAGAGAACAACTCAACAGAAGGGCAGAAAGTCGCAAAAGCGCGAAACAGACAGAGTTTCAGAACAGAGGCAGAATAGTAGATGGTACAGTCAAATGGTGATGAGTAGCGAATTGTTAGTTGATGTTTCGGCGAATGGAGAGGTTGGATCAAGAGCCAAGATCGTATACAAAAGGATAAGAAGATAAAAAGAGGCGTTAAGAGATAGTCACAGATGATAGTAAAGTATCAGACTTAACGAACGAGTGTGAGAGACGTTACCTAAGTCCCGGCCCCAGGAGCGCTGCTGCTGCCCCACTAGATCATATATCACAGGATGGTCACAACCATGTCACTTCGTTAATAGTCGCAGTTATATCTGTTATCGCTCTCAAACGGGGGCAAAGAGGGTGGGCCGGCAGATAAACCGGGGGGGAATAAAGAGAGCTTCCTACGTGATCCGTTCGCATTTATACGTTATTTTACGTCATGACGTTATAATTTTACGAGTCACACCGGTGATAACACTCCATCCATAATGACTGATGGAGAAATAGATAGAGAGAGAGGGGAGATAAACCGCGTGTGAGACTCGCAATCGATAGATCGAGCGCGTTCTATGTACATCTGTGTACAGTTATATGTTAGATATATAGATATATGTATTATATAACCGGCAGAGAAGACTGGATATATCGTTTAGCAGAAAATTCGGCAATAATTGAAAAAAAGGCTGGTTAAAGGATCACTGGGCTAGAAAGACTTACAATTTTTGCACTTGCACTTCTTGATCAGAGTCTCGTCTTTAATATCCTCGTGGCATGCTTTGCAATAGAACCACGCCCTGGAAATAAAAGCACAGAAGCAACGTTATTACTTATTCTAAAAAATTGTAGAGGCAGATTATTTAAATAATCACGCGCATTGTGTCATATAACATTCACATGGTTATTCGAATTGGCTATTTTTAAAATATAGACAATATACGAACATCCAGATAAGATTTGTTTTCTTTAAATCGTTTTTGTAATATCTCTGAATATTCGAGCGTTCTTACCGCTTCACTTCGTCAGCCGATTGAGCAATGAAGAATCCCTGAGTATTTGCAGCGATCTTGGCACCACGTGGGTTAATCGAGATTTTACTGTCCGAGCCTGCTTCGCCCTTTATTTCGATGGCCAGCAGTAAGAGCTTCAGTTTTGTGAAGCACAACCTACGACGAAGTCATGCATAATATTCGATGCCTCGCAAGTATCAATTGTGTAAAGCTAACAGAAAAATTGCGTACGTCTTGCTTGTTTTTTATACAATACATTCATGGACGTGACATACATCATATACAAGAAAATGGCCATTGATTATGAGAAATAAGCAACTAAAAAGATATTGCAAAGATAATGAGTTGTGTGTATAGATTGTATAATAATGTGCAACAATGACTGACTAGCATTCTGTAATATACAAAGTTTGCAGTAAGATAATGAATATTTACAAGAAATATGTAAATAGAGAGAGCATATAAATTTTTATGTATTATAATACATTGCGAACTACTGTTAGCAAAATAGAATAGTCGAAATAGCCAGTTGAAAACAACTCAGTATCGTATGCGTTAAGTGAACAATGAAACCTGAATTCATTAAAAGAAAAATCTCACTTCCGTAAAATGAGTTTATGTTGCAGTTTTATTTTAAAACAAGTGTTATATAAATATTATATTAATGCAACAATCTTAATATTATTAATTAGATACGAATGCAAGCTTCATTCTTTGTACAAGATACATTAAATGGAAAAATGTAGTATAAAACATTTCCATCAAATTATTTGAATGAATATAAAATGCATAATGCTTAAAAAGTGCGAAAAATGAAAATAATTGTATTAAAATGTTTATTTGCGATTTATTGTTTGAAATCATATTTTAAGAAAAACAACATTTAAAAATGTTACTACCTTTATTTAATGTATCTCGTGCTTCATAAGTTTTTTTTTACTTTATGCATTTTATTTAGCATTATTCGCGAATAATGTGTGTTAGATAGTAAGTAAGATATGTGTGTACATTCATACCCACAGCGTAACGGAACATTGCTCATCAACAACGTAAAGATCTTATTTCAAACAACAAAGTATTGAATTTTACCTCGTCTATTTATTTATATATAAAAATTGTTTTATATTTTTTTATATCTAAATCAATCGTTTTTTACAAACGTATCGTTTTTTATATCGTATCAACGCCCCGTTATGCCACCTCGGCGATCACAGAACATTAAACAGTCATGCAAGCGATGCAACATATGTCGATGAGTTAATTCCAAGCGATCATGCAGGAAAATCTTACATAACGATCATCACTCATCTAATAATACGAGCCGAAACATGCCAAGATAGATAGATCGAAAGTTTCTATTGTTCTCTAAACTATCTGTTACGTTCTAAGTTCCTAATCTACTTCAAAGTCCCAGGAGGCATTCAAGAGGTCCGGTCTCATCCGAGTAAGGTTTCCAATAGATTAGCTAATGTTTGATAAGCATTTTATATATATACGGTTGCATATAATATACGGCATAAAAAGATAATAAAAGTAGTTATATAATGTTCACTGTGAAGATCGCTTCTTAAAAGTAGATCTCTCACACACGCAAACCAAATGGCGATATAATCCAAGTGTGCGCATAAATTAAAAGAGAAAAATCGGAAGAATTATAGCTCTTCTGCTTCGCGAATAACAATGTAACTCACTGGTTTCTGTGCACTGGCTGTACAATATATCGTTACGCCAACAATAAAAAATTACTATAACTCTTTAAACACATCGTTTTCCTTAAGAAATTGAATAGCAAACATTTTAGTACAGTGTACTATTTCCATGCTTTTATTTACGAATGCTTCGACTAATTTTTAATAGCTTTAAATATCTTGTAATTAGTTTTCGAGTAAACAATTTGTTAACTTGAAAATATTTAAAAATTAAAATTAATTAAAATAAAAAACTTTATTTATAGAAAAATTGTTTGTATTTTAAAAACTTATAATTAAAAATTATTGCTGTTGCGATCACAGCTGTTAAAATCACAGAAACCAATGATGCAATCTTAGGGCAAATACGGTGCAATTCTAAGAGTTAAAAGAGTGTTAAAACGGCGCATTTACTTAAAAATTTCGTGGTTGTTTTAAACGTAAGAGTATTTACCGAAGAATATTTATTGCGGCAATGAATACAATACTATCAATACAAAACAATATGTTGTGTATTCTATCGTGCTGTTTTTTTTGTGGGACTTAATTTTATATTTTGTTTTTATCGCAAGGACTTGGCACGGAAAGATGGCTTTTTTTAAATAAATAGATATGTTTTTTAGTTATGTTTATTGCTATATATAGTAATTTGCAATTAAAATATGAATAATATAAAATAATCTAAGAATAAAGATATAAAGAATAACTTTTTAATATTGTTTCTGTGATGATTTTATTTTTGCATATTGACATATGTATTTTATTTTCACTTTCCTTAAATAAAATTAGGATAAATTTTTCTATTGATGAATATAAATTACTTTCCGCATAAAATATATACTTCATATTGCGCATACCTTATGTGTTTTATATCCGTAGCGTAATTACGTAAAATTATCATGATTAATTTTAATTGCAAGTGACTATATATAATGCTTTGACTTTGTGTGTGTCCCAGTATCAGCGAGCAGTTATATACAAAATATATTAGTGTTCGCAAGAAGCGACACTCGCGTATGTTACCTCCGATCATTTTCGCAAGGACAGAACTGCGAGCTCGATTAAAATCTGTTAACGAACAGTGCGTACTAATACATATTTATGTCTAATCGGCAGCCACTGTCGATATCCACCCGTACACTTCTTCAATAACCTGTGTCAATGTGTTACGAGAATAAGTTTCACATATTTTTACATGATAAAGAACAGCAGGCATGCGTGTACAAAGAACGCGCTTTTGTTAAGAGAAAATTAGAACGCTACATCTAAGAACACACACCATGACAAGGATACGGACATTATCGACAAAAAGACAAAAATCTTGCCCGTTACGTTCAAAAGTGTTTATATATGTCAAATTCAAAAATAAGTTTAAAATTCTTTCCCGGTAAAATTAAAATCACATGTCCCATCGTTTGAAAAAAAAGTACGCGCGCGCTTCTTTCTCATTTCGTCTCACGTTGCGCCGTAAAAAAATTGTGATTGTTGTCGAAGCGAGATGCACGACCAGGACGAATGCGGATTTTGCAACGATTCTTGCATGCGCATTTGATCGCAGCTAATTAAAACTTACAAGAATAGCTTCTGGTCACGTTAGAACGTGACACGATATGTGTCGATTTAAGATTAAACATTCAAGGACGGCGATTAAATCCAATGCCATAAAATGACATTCTATAAACTTCATAATGTAAATTTTTTAATTATTTTTTAATAAAATTTAATCTTTTCCAAAGATTTGTTAAATTCGTTTAGATTTTTTATATAATATTGAAAAGATAATTAAATGTTTCCACAAATATCTGACAAATTAAAAAAAAATTTGTTTCTAAAAAAGACATGTAATAAATTTCATTATTTTCAAAATCACTTTTAATTCATTTTAACAAAGTATCTTTTATACGTTCGCCAGAAACACTTAATAAAAAGCGAATATAGAAAAAGAAATAGAAAAATTCTTGAAAAAAATGGAGAAAAAACCTTAAACCGATCGCGTAAATAAATAGAATTGTGAAAGAATTAAGCAGCACGCAGTTCCAATCTCGATATCAATTGTTCTGCAAAATAGTGTCGGGATATAGGAAGGCCGTTGTTCGGCGGTCTCGACACGGTCGTCAGGCTGTTCCCGATAGTCACATTTTCGGAATCGCGCGTCCATTCGCACGCGAATCGCGTGCGCCGGTGTTTCCAGCAATTTCCGATTCTGGGCGTTTAAAGCACTTTCGTTTCCGCGAGTCGATTCCCCCGTTGCCAATCAAGCGTCCCAATTATACCGAGCACGATCGACCTCGGCTTTTCACGCGATTGCAGCGACGTCCGCATTCGTCCGATACGTCTCTTCCGTTACTACTTATTATAATTTCTACGCAATTCACAAAGATTTGTGCAAAATTTCGAGCAGCTCGAGAGAATAAAAAATGGTCGGAAAAAATGAGAAGGGCACGGTCGAATAGAGGCAAAAGTAAGGAAAGAAAAAGATTCGTACAGCTCAAAACTGGTCTACTCTACGCAAAATCCAAACAAAAAAGATAGACAAAGACGAATATAATAGAGACTAGTAAAGAAGTTGATTCAAAGACTAAAAGACCGAGGTGAAGGGCGATATACGTTCTCAAGTATAGATATGTTGTAATATATGTCTCGGTGTATCGGGATACTTCGGTGTGTTTAGGTAATTCGTGAGACGAAGATAAGTAAGACAAAAAGGTAAATAGAGAAAGAGAGAGAGAGAGAGAGAGAGAGAAGAAAAAAAGACAGAAAAGAAAGAAGTTTGTGATCAAGTGTACCGTGTCGATATTTTCGTATTTCGCTCTTTCTCTGTATGAATGTATGTTTGATGTGACCCGTATAATTGTCAATTTTGTGCCAATTCTGTGTACGTGTGTGTATGTGTGTATTCGTTCGGTACGTTTACGTGTGTGACAGCCGCTGACAGCGAGAACTTACTCGCTGGCTTGGGGAAATGTCATCCCGGTAAAGGACGGGGAGAGGGTTTCCGTGTACATCTCGCAGCCCGTGCCTTGCAGGTAATCATTCTGCCACGCCTGTGTGTCCGGCGACTGAAACACCAACCAACCAGGTCTCACGTCATCAAACATTTATGATCCACAGGTATGTGGACGCGCGACGTGGACCTTTCCCGCGACGAAGAGTATCAGCTGGGTGAGTTAGCTGATACTCTTCGCGGTGGGAACTGAAATAGGACATTTGTTTTGTAAACGAGAAAAAGAGAGCGAACCGTCTGATTGACGCGCCCATCTGAAAAATTTACCTACGCTGCAGCGCTAATCTTATTCCTCATATATGCTCTGTAAAAAAGTCTGATTAGGTTTTGTTCTTTTTTTCCAACTCGCTGGTTGAATGCAGACAACGCAAAAGTGTAAAAGATGTTTAAAACTTCTGACCGAGGCAAAATTATGTAGGCCAGGGAACGCTTTTGGATGCTCGTTCAGCGGGCAGCGCAGTCCGTATCGCGTTGACGCGCCACGACCATGAGACACGATGATGCATTTCGCAATTATGTTGACCGACTAGGATAAGAGTTATTATCACCGTCGAAACGAACGACCGCCGGTAATGATCAAATTCCAGAAGCCGTAATTCCGGGCGAGCACGCGCGCATACTCACTCACACTCACTCAGCCGCATGTGTGCATATCCGCATGCACCTGATCTCTCCCGAATTCTGCCCCATCCCGCCCATCAATTTCAGCGATTCATCGATTAATCGAGACCTGACCCGTTCTCACATTTTCCGTTCTCCGGCTGAACTCGCACGTCGTTTGCGCGCAAGTTTTTCAATTACGTCGATTCCTTCGTATAATGTAGAATCCTGAAGTATAAGAGTTCTTTCGCGTTGACACGAAAGACGGCGGACATTTCTTCGATCTATTTCCCGAGCTACCATCATGATAGACGATGAATTGTAGACTCATAGTGCAATATTTTGACTGCCACATACATTTCTGGGGTCGATCTTTTAACATTATGGTCTCACAAAAGCAATTAGAGTAATTAAAGCATTATTGTAAATAAAATTAATTAAATGTAGTTAAAAGGAGATTTTATATATACTCCACATTCCCACATCTCTCTCTACATGAAATCACTGTGCAGGAAGATACGGGTCACATGCGCGCGTGTTGGTGACCAACATAACACAGTAAACACAGCGGAAATGGCAACAAAACTGAGATCAAAGGATCGCTTTATGAATCTAGCAACTCCATTGCTGACAAGATCCAGTTCCGACCATCATATTTACTCTAAACTCCCATTCGTCACTATGGTGGTCTTATGGAAGTTTCTAGCCGGTCTGGATTGGAAATTCTATAACAAGAACCAAAGGAACTGTGCGCTATATGAATCCGATAGCTCTGTAATAAGATCGAGTCGTGTGCCGTCGTCAGTCGTTACCTCTTTCCATTCGCTCGCTGTTAATTTATGTTATTGTTACAAATCTCTCTTTCAAAGTTACATGTAATATCAATTGCAGAGAAGGGTGAAAATACAGATACGTTACTGAAGCGATGAAGGGGTGGTTTACATCGATTAGGTGTAGCACAGATATGGTTTTGTACAATATAGTAGACACGTTCATGTATCATATTGTAATATACACATACGTGCGCGAGGATTCGTCTCGCGTATATGTGTATATACGTATATACGTTTACGTATATAGCGGAGTGGAGCGTAGTGAGAGACATAGGCGAGGCGAAGCTTTATCCCTTTTTATCTTTCCTTCCGATTCAAGAGAACGCGGACCTTTTTCTCGAGCGGCTCTGCCGTAGTTTAATATCGCGACAGCGGCGCAAAATAGGCAGGCATGCCTGCAAAATTTTAAACAGCGATAATTTACGAGCGAGTTTCGCTACTCTGACTCAAAGGAATTCCTCGTACGAATGCCCTTCGAGACTCTGTTTAAATGATAAAACTGCGCGGTGAACATCCCAAGAGTTTTATTCTCGTCTTACAAGGAGTAGGAAAACCGTCCCTTTACATGAACTTTTTATTATACATACGCCTGCAGAGGAATTCAGTATCAGTCGAATAAGCGAAATTGTTAATAGTTAAAATTCACAAATTTGACATTTGCCGACTCTGTGGTCAAGCATTAAAGTAATTTGTTATGCAGTAAAGATCTTTATTTTATTTTACGCTTAATTGTTTGAATTGTCAAGCGAATTAACGCAAAGAATTTATTATACGAATTTTTGGAAATGTTAAATATTTATTTAATAGTCATGAGAGAATTCTTTATGAATTAAACATATCTAAAAATTATGAAAAATAAATTGTTCTATGATTTTCTGTTTCTCCAGCTTATACAAACGATATTGCTGTTTCAATGTCGCCACAATCCGATAATCAGACAAAAATATCTTTCAGACAAAAATATTGGGAAAAAGATCTCTCTTTTATTATGCAGTTATTGTTGAAAATAGTGTAACAAAATGTAATGTGAGGTGATAAGAAAACTTGGCTCTACCTTATCTAAGCTTCTAATTTTGAATCCCTCTGCGGCATAAAAGCGCAACATACAACGCAAAAAGTCAATAAAAATAGCGAGAGACCGAGTCCCCTACTTTTCCTTGTTACACGACAAAATCGATCGTTGTACCACGTGTTCGCTACGTCACTCTGGCCGAAGAAGCATGAATTAAAAATAATCACACGCGCGCCACAACACTATCATCGACACGGAATTAGCGATTGCATCGACGGTTCCGTACGTCTCCGGCGGGCGGCTTTATCTCGCAATCGCGCCGCAAGAAAGATACGACGTCACTATGACGAAGCAAGGGAACACTTGGAAGTGATGCAGCGTAATACACGAAATCAAACACAATCGGCGAATGACGATCGAACGAAAGATCCGGCAAACGCGGCGGTCCCGCGTCTCTTGAATCAGAAATGCGCGTATTTTGCTGGATGTTAGATTGGTCCGTGGACCGACTTACTCAGTGGCTTTCGCAAAGGGCATTCCAATGAAGGTAGGGCTCAGTGTCTCGGTGTACATCTCCATTCCGGTTCCACGCAGGTAGTCATTCTGCCAAGCCTGCATATCGGGCGACTGGTACCAATCAACCAACCATTTCTAAATCACACACGCTCCTATGCATGTACGGATTGTGCGCGTATTTGTCCACAGTGAGGTGCTCGTGCCCGAATACTTCCGGACTTCCGGAATAACGGAGTTTCCGGAGTGGCGTGACGTGAATCTCAAATCGCTTCCGCGCTCGCGTTTCGTCGTGCGAGAGAATAGCACGCGAGTTAGACGGAAAATTTGGCAAAAACAATTTTGTCGAATAATGCCGAATATCTGTTTCGCTAAAAACTTTGTGCGCTCAAATCTGAGTGATCGCAAGATCAACTCCGCAGAAAATATCACGGACGATATACGACTTCTTTTGTACGCGATCACTGTGAACAGCCTGATCATAACAAAGACCTATACGAGGAATTGCGTTCAGACATGCATAGAGTAGGTGGCAGATGAATTACCGAAACATGGTGGATTACTGACCGTCTTAAAGGAACGCATAGCGAAGAGATTGGCCATCATAGTGCTGAAGCCAGGCGCGAGGCAGGACTGCGCGATAAAACCTAGTTTCAACTCCGCCAGGCATATAACATCGTCACCCTGCTTCCAATCCCACGATGGAATGTTTAGTAAGTAGGCCTGGAACAGGATTCGGTCGACAAGATAAGAAATCACCGGCAAATAGTATTATATGATTGCAATGAAAAAAAATATCCAATCCTTGGAACAGACAAATCACGGATAAATTTTAGTAAACGATACTTTTCGGAGAAATTAACGTAACTTTGTGTCTCCGCTTTACAAATTTCTTTTTTAAATCAATAATTTATTGCTGAGCAATCGCTCGACAGTGGTTACCTTGTTGTGATACTGCATTAACTGAATGATAACGCGAATGTCGTCCGAATAGTTCTTGATGGAGATGACGCGCATGATGTTCGCCGCGTCCTCCGCGTCCGGATCCTGACAGTACTTGTTCGCCAGTACCAAACACGCGTCCGCTTCGTGTACCTAAAAGTATCGAGATAATCCATTTCGTTGCCGTCTCCGTTGCTTTATCTTGTAGTCGATTAATACATGGGAAGAATGTATATTGGGCAGGACGTTGGTCTAAAGCGATAGCAAAATAGAAATTGCTCTCTGAGCGTATATTCGAAAATAGAATGGAGCGAAAAAGTAAACGCATCGTTACAGCCAATAAAATTGTGTTTATTTAAGAACGAAGCAGCTATTTGGAACGCATCGCGATTGTCGCCACGGTAGTGTAAGCTGCTAAATCTATCGTCGATCTATTGTGATTCTATTTGAAAAATTGGCCTCTGCTTATCATATTTGTTCAATAAGCAAATTTTTTAAATTAAAAGAAGTATATATACGATAGACAGAGAGCATTATCGAAGATACAACGTAGTATAAAACGAAATACTTTGTGTGTGGACTAAAACATATCATGGAAATATGCATCTACGATATAAAAATCATATAAAAGCATTCATGAGATAATAACGGGGCTACTTAATTATGAAGATTTGCATGGCTAATGGGGTTAATTATTTCACAGGTGAGAAAGTGAACTGAAATCAAAGATTTGACGTTGACTGAAAATTTAATATTTGCTTTATCCACGCGCCTGATTTAATCATTAAACAAATAACACGCACAAATGTACTGTTCATAATTTCACGATAATTTCATTTAGTTTCATAATTTCATTTACCACTGTCAATAAATTTGCGCCCGAAGAAATTTTATTTATAAATTCATTATTTCGAGTTGAAAGTATATAAATTGAACGCACTCAAACGTATTAGAATAAAGATAACTGACAGCGTATAAAATTTACCGTAAAATGAAAACGAAATTTACAAGAGCAGCAACATAAATATCCTTGAAATTGACTTGGTGTGCACCTTCAACGCAGCTGCACGATTCAAACAGCGATTAAAGTATGAAAGCGAGTCTCTATACACATTCCTAGGATATGCAAACCTTATCGATCATCAGGGGGAGGACGGAATAGGTCGGCTCATCTGTACATCTGAACAATGGAAAAGCGCCTCTATCTACATGCTAATCTATCGGCTAACAAGACTTGGCATGAACCTCGACGTGTAAAAAGAAACTATACAAACAGCCAAAGAACGTACCGTCCCGTCTTCGTCAGTCATCAGGATCGATACACTTAACGGATACATCACGTTCGACTATCCCATCAGATACTAAGTCTCTAACAGAAACTATCGTCTGGAAAGTAATCGTCTAGTAAACCGGTCTCTTCACGAGAAGTACACGAGCACTTACCCACTTGGGTCGACAGCAGGCATGGGTCTATTCCGGTGGATGCAATACAACCTTAAAGGGACTTTTCTCACGTAAATGGGTATATGCATAAGTGTCGTGTGTGTACGTGTCTACGTGTGGGGGGGGAGAAATTGACGTTGCTTTCCTCTCGAATTTGCTGGCGGGTATATATAAGATAGAAAGACGGGGATGAGACAGACGGAAAAAGATAAATAGATAGATAGACAGACAGATAGATAGACAGGGGCTATTAGATCGGGGTAACTTTACTGAGGCGTGCACGGGGCCGAATATCGAGTTTTGGTCACGGAGGCTCTCAGGCCTGCATCCCCCAATCCTTTTTAAAACCTTGCGAATAATTGATCGAATCCGAAACCAGCTATCGCAAATTGACGAGACACGAAAGCGGACGACAGTGTACGGAGACGCGCCAACGAAGGTATCGTGTAACATCGTCAATGTGTACGAACATAAAGGGAAACATACAGGCAACAAACATCCTGGAACAATAGCATTTGTTATCGGCACGACGTCAGTTCCCGAACGTCCACCGATCGCCCACGGTAGCAGCCGTGACGTCGCTACTTTCTCCCGCCATTGATTTTTTCCGATTATAGACTGTGGACTACGCGAGTAAATCATAGGCCGCACTCTAAATATTGTTTCGATTCCTCGCAAATTTATGTATATAAAAGAAAACCAACATACGTATGCGGAAATTTTTCTAAGTGTATAAGAAATATTCGCGGTAGATTAAACTGCATAAACATTTTTCTCCTATTAAAATTTACATTACAAGACATGCTGAAAATATAGAAAAGAAGAAGACAGAATAAAGATGTTTAAAAATAACAATTTAAGTTGGATTTTCGCAAACTTCGATATTTCAAATTAATTCAAATATCAACTACGCGACAGTAAAATGCTGGTACCGTGCGCGCCGAAATTATGACGGTTCGATATAGTTCTTAGGTGATCAAACAAAGAGGGAAAATAGAAATATGTAAGAGTAAAGTGACGATTATTATGTAAAGGATGGGGCTATTCGTTAAGTATATATTATATGTATACGGGTTTAATATATCGTTTCGAGATTGTTCGATCGTGATAACAAGCTCACCTTAACCCGTTGTAGGTCAATCGGGTTCATGATGGTCCCCTGAAAGAACTCCACGGTGGTGAAGTGCCGCTTGAACAGTCCTTCCAGTTCGAGATCAGGCGGTTTCCTGATCCGACAAAACGATACGGTTCTCTTTATAATTAACATTCACCTCAGCTGTTGTTGGGGCCTTTTTGCGAGAATATCGTTGAGTAGTAGGCGCCGACAGAGAGATCGGCGAAGATTTCATTAGAACGTGAATGAATTGAGAGTACAGATTTGTCACGCGTGCTCGCGGCCTTTGAGGGAAAAACTGTATTACATTGTTTTTAATTTGCAATTGTTGTGATTACCATTGTTATGAAATAAATGTGAGGAAAGTTAATCAAAATGTTTGCGCTCATCCTCAAAGGAAACGAGCACGCTAAGGCATGTAGAATAATAAATCTCTAAGTAAATCTCTACTGCACGCTGAGTCGGCTCCATAGCTCAATACAGCATACCATGCAGTCGCAGGCGGTTGCTTTCTACGTAAATATATAGATACGTATGTATCGCCGTCCGGTGTTACGTTGCTTTTGTATTCACGAGGTGCGCTCGAAAGCGCTACTTTGCGCGAACGTGCCGTGAGCTCCCATAATTCGAACAGTAAACTCAAACAATGGTCTCGAGCCTGGCGGAGAACCGCGATTACGTGCGCCGACGATGTAGCGTCGACGTTCTTAACACCGCACCGGACGGTTCGATAGCACGTCAAAGAAAGAAGAAGAGAGCGAAAGAGAAAATTGAGAATAAATCTAAACAACGTAGCGAGCATTGGTGTGATTCGCAGGTGTACGCGCGAATCACTAGATACGAGATTCTATAAGAAGTAATGGTAGCGATTCATCAACATGAGACTGCATGACTGTGTGTGACATAAATATATGTAAATATAGATAATATATATATATGCATAGATACATAAGTATATAATATCGATAGATCATCACGGCGTGTTTATACCCAGGCGAATAACCGTGTAATAACCTAAAGAACTGCAAGGAAACAAGAAGCGCGAGCGGCCACGTGGAGGGCATTTGATGGAGGGTTGGTTGGTGGAGGTTTTTCGTGTCATGGTTGTTCTAGGGTTCAGGGTACCTTGACGCGCTCCAGATCCACGGCATTCATCATGGTGCCCTGAAAAAACTCCACGGTCGTGTAATGCCTCTTGAGGAGACCCTCCAATTCGAGATCCGGTTCTTTCCTGAAAACACAAACCACTCCTTACGACTATAGCGATCAGACTTTGGACGGACATTCTTGCTTATTCTTCACGAGTCCACGATACTCGACACCGATCCGACGATGGAAAATCTCTGTACGTAATTTGAAACGTTGCTAAAATAACAATGTTTCACGGTCGACGAGCACGGTAAAGCTAATGGGCTCTGATCGCTTTAAGTCGCTTGGCGACAGAAAATCTCTCGATCATCGAAGGGCGACGTATACTCACCACGAAGTCGCCAACATTGAAAAAAAATTATTATTTAGTATAATCAAAATGAGGAGAAAATCAGATAGAAATACTTAAGAAATAAATCAAATTATTATGATAACCAGCAACAGTATCTGTACATCTTATTCTACGAATATTTGAATTTGTGCATCTTATTATATAAGTTGCACAAATTTCTGTTTCCTGCAAAATGCGCAAAATTGCCTGTATAAACTAAAAATTAAATTATTATCGTTCAACTGATACGTAGAAATATGTTTCAAATGATCAAAGATGAAAAAATTTTCATAAGATATCTCCGCGTCAAATAATAATAATTCTTTCAAGATTACCTTAGCAATGTTATAATAATATTATAATAATAATAATATCATAAGACGTAGTAATCTAAAAAGAATTAAATGACACTTGATACGAATTGATGAAGACATCAGTTTTGCAAAAATAATAATCATACCTATGTAAGAAGACAACTTCTACGTCGACGTCCTCGCGATCCTCGTGTAGGAAATCCTTGAGGAAGTGCGAGACTGATTCGTAGGTGATGTGACCGCACACGACAATATGTCTGCCAACACAACGAATAGGTTAGATCACATTCCTCTGATGATGATATTAATGAGTGAGGAAAAAAAGGAAAATTCTCAAGCAGCTACCATATATACACTCTATGTAGTATCAACTACAGAGACGTAATTGCGTTCTTCTCTTTCCCGCTACAATTTCTATTCATTTTAATTTGTCTTTCTCGTAAAATAAATTTTTCCAAAACGAAGATATATTTTTCGATGTAGGGATAAATATTTAAAAACAATGAAACAGCGAGGAAAGAGTAGAACTAGAATATTGATGTCGATGAAAAATCAAATTGCTTTTATTTTTTCCCTGCCATTTTAGTCTGCTGCCACAGTGAAATTGAATTTAACTTTGCTATACTTTGTTAAACTATTCTATCTAACATTAGTCGTTTTTACCAACATATAGTTAAAAAAAAAAGGAAATAAAATATAAATCAATATTTATTATTACAGTAATCAGCTGATTTTTCAAGAAATATTTGATGATATATCGCGAAGTAATGCTCGACAATCGAGCTTGTTTTAAAGAGCTATTAGACAGTCATTAAAATAGAAGAAAAATAATGAAAACTTATTGGCAGTTGAATAATGCGCGATGTACGTTTGTATCTATTCAAAATAAATAATAAATCAGTAGGCTAAACTTACCAGGGTTGCGCTAGGAATTGGATTGATTCATTTGAACCAACTAACGTGACAACTATACACACATCTATGTGACAAGTTAGTGCTAGGTATACGATGTACATACACAGGTCGATACTGACAAGTGTTAGATCAAATACGCATGAGTGCAGGCTCATTCGTGTATTAGTATTGTTGCAATATACGTCAAGCGCACACAAGACTCTCTTATATATCGCTACGTGCTGTGTGTATCGATAATTACATATCCTACTCCTAAGTGCCACATAATAGGTAAAAGGCTAGTGGTGCCTAAAGATAATCAGCAGACTTGCAAAGGAAAGTATAGCAGAGTTCGACCATGATCATTCCATGCTTTATGTTGTCTACTCGGTGATATCTAACGTTCGGCTCCATCGTGAACTCAGTAGTCTTGCCTTGCGACTCGCTTTATAGCTTCAATGGAGTGCGTAAATCTTTTTTTTTTTTATCGCTCGCGCGACAGGCCCTACTGAATTCGATGTAAGCTCATTGTGTTCAGTATTAAAATTACTTCCATTCTACATACGGGGCCGACGCCATGTGCGTGTCGAGATGTGAGTGTCGTGAATATTGGCAGAGTTGTTACAAATCGTTTGTGTATCAATTGTTGCCAAACGTTCCCAGATCGAAGGTGTATGTACGTGTTCGCGGATCTGCCGAAAATCGAATGCGCGCGAGTTCTGCTGTTCATATGAGGAAAATTAAATGCTCGTGTGCATTCGTATAATGAAAATTGGATTCAACGTGTCTTGCCGTGATGTGATTATTCACATAATTATGTCTGCTGGTTATTCCGATATCGGTGTACCTTAATGCATTTCAGAATATTTGATTTATTAACCATAATGCCTTTTAATTTATTAATTACATTGCCTTTTGATTAAATGAAGTTGATTCATTAAGCCAGTATTTGATAAGACAGCCGTTATTGAAAATTCGAATAAAATGACCGATATTAATGGTACATTGATGAGAAACAACGCGCAACGCGAATAATATACACCATAAAACGCAACTAAAAATGACACATGGTAATTTTCCGCGAAAGATTTATCATCGTGACAAAGCTCTCCTGAATTACTATATTGTGTGCGAATACGCGTACATTTTTCATCGACCGTGGGCACATGTGAAATCGTATTTGGATAAGGTGCTCGAATAATAATGCGATTAGCAGCGTGTATTGTCGTGTAGCTTCTTCTTACGAAAGATCACAGCCACATTTGCGCTAGTTGTGAATGACAGTTGAATCGAAAAAAAGAAAATCTGTCGTTCCTGAACTACGTCGTTTCGGCCCACCGAAGTTGTCCTCAACCAGAATCCCTGAGCTACGTATGACCAGAAATCCCAATAACATACACATGTTATTTAAGACAAAAACATCTCCCTTTTCATATTTTTTTCCCCTTTTTCAAGATTTATCAGAAACGATCATTAATGCTGTCTAGAACACCAAGGTTATTACACTGAAGTGATACAACATTAGTTTACATATGTATGTATATATAATATATGCATTCTCAATGTTCGGATAATGCAGGGTACATGCTGGGCGTTAATCCCTTGCACTCGGAGAGAAATACAGCTCAACATATCAAAGCGCGCGGTTCGTTTAACGACAATAAGGTCGTTCGACCGTGACCGCTCCGACGGCTATCGAATAATTAACTCAAGACTCGTTACGCGAATTTCCAGACTGCGGCTTGTTAGCACGAAGCACGATTGTTCGTTGAGCGCCAAGTTGTTGTCACAACCGTTTTACAGCGAATTACGTTACCAATTACGTCGCTTCAATTTAGTGCACTCCTGAGATCGTAGTTCATGGTTGACGCAATGATTGCGAAATTTATTAATGGTAGCGAACTAAACGAACAAGTTGATTCGGACGACACGTCTTGTCACAGATCCATTTAAAACTTTAGCGCGATTTACGAGACGAGAAATGTGGAACATTTCATACAACGCGCGACGACGATTAATGAAACATTTCGAGATGTAACAAAGGAAACTTCTCGTTACTCGCTCGTTTTATACGCTACGCTTCATGTGTGCATTAAACCGCGATAAGCCGTATTTGTCCCAAGTGCGGTCGGTGTGAACAAACAAGCTAACACCAGTTGCTGGGTGTGATGGGTAGGTCTGTGATGGCAGACGGGCTGGGTGGTTCGTTGAGGGATGTTGTTGGTAAGCTGGTATTCAGGAATGTTTTTTTTTTGGAGACGGCGGCTGCACTAAGGCCGGCTGACAACTAGTGCAATGAGCTGGTATGGAACTGCGGTTTTGCAATGCTAACACTGATCTCTAAATATATATAGATTCATAAGAAGGATTCGTCGGATCGGGAGTCTTTTGATAAGGATTAATATGTTGCGTGCGTGCTTCTATCGGGGAAATTCCATTCACAGGAGCACGGGATTGGGGAAAGATATCGGGGTGTTGTGTACGCACCGTGTATATATGTCAGAAAAAGTATAATAGAGACATGTCAGGTAAATGCCAGGGAAGTGAAGAGATTATATAGCCTTTATACGAGAGGACACCGTGGATACGGCAGTAATTGGGATTGGATCTCAAATTGGGGAAGCTAATTGGTTGGTTGTGTCTCTCACCTGCGACCTCGCTCGTTCTTCAAAGTGCCGCCGTACTTGTTTCGCGTCCCGATCAGGTCAATTATCTCAGGGATACAACTGGCGAATATGGCCTATACCACGTAATAGAACAAAACACAACACTCGCATCAATACACTTGTGTGACAGGGTTGACAGTAGTTTGCTTTTTTTTTTTTTTTTTTTACATGTATCTTGTTCGGCCGGTCGATTGGTCGGTCGGTCGATCAATTTTTATGACGTCGCGTCGTAATGTCGAATTGCTAGTAACTGTTACAAGCTGATTACGCAGTAGTACGTCTTTTCCCTTATCGTTTGCTTGGGTAATGAGGGGGAGGATATTTGCATTTATCGAACGGAATCACACTCTGGCTCGACTACCGGCTATGAGTACGCGCGGTAACTCATAGAGACACGATTATCAGTGCTGTACCGCTATGCGCTCCACGTTTTCGAGAATTAGCGATGTATTGGAAACGAAACACGTTTCAGATAAAAGGGTAGAGTAGGTAGACTACCTACACCTATATTGGTTCTATGTACCTATACCTAGACCTAACAGAGAGAGATACTACATGTGCTGACACGTCTACCTAATCCGTAGATCTGTTTCTCAATATCCGCGCTGTCTCCTAACTTTCTGCGCCCAATATATTATAATCACATCATTGTATTGTCATTTTTATCAGGAAAGTTTTTTTTTCCAATTCTTTCGTTCTCTATACACAGTTATCTCTCTATAAACACACAAATATTTTCTTGGAAAAAATCGAGAGTGTTAAACTTGATAAAAAATTATTTTAAAAATTGTACTGAAAGACAAATTCATGGATATTTATTTTCTATTTAGGATAGAATTATGAGTATTAAAATTTATAAATGATCGGATAGAATTACAAGTTATATCGATTATGTATGATTGCATCGAGAAATCTTTATGTATAACATTTTCTGAACAAGATTAAGCTTGCTGATAAATTCATCATTACAGCAAAATAAAATTATTTTTCGAGTTTGTAGTATATCTCGTTATTTGCAATCCATTTGACGCACGAATGAATAAAGGGCCGAACTCTTATTAGAAGTCTAGTTAGCGAGCGATTTGTTAGTATCTGGTTAATCACTCGTTCACACTAGTACACGATACAATCGACACAAGACATAATATACGCAAGAATATTACAACATGTATGTTTTCAAAATCTCGAAGGAAAACGTATGTACATCATTTAATCACGCTGACAATGAAACCAATTAAGCTATGCTACAGCACACACATTAATGTCGATCTCTTTCTTCCTCCTCTCGAGGCGAGTGCACAATACTCGCTATTCACGTCGATATATCGAATGTGATGTTAAACGTCCCTTTCGAGCGTACCTTGGAGAATGCTGAATACTTATCCTCAAGGATCGTCGACAGACTGACAAAATTAGACATGATATTTCGCTCCATATTAACGCTTCCATTTTATTACCTGATATTAATTGCATTACTATTAAATAATAGTAGCAACAATAATAATAATATTATTTGCCGAACAAAGAGAACAATCTAATCGCGAGAAGCGGTGCGTCTGCGGCAACGAAATCTGTGAGCGCGTAATTTGCGTTTTATGCTTCATTGCGAATTTAATTCAACTCATGAACGACGCTTTTGCCAAAATAATTTCGCGTTTTGTGCAGTGTTTCTTGACTAGTGTCGATCTACGCGTACT